ATTTTCAGATTAAAGAACCCCTCTGCCAATTGAATGAAGCCCATAAAATGCCAATTTGCTGACCTCTGTACTAATTTAAGACTGTGTTTCCCAGTGGTTAGAGCATTGGCCCGAGGACCAAAGGGTCACAGGTTCAAGTCCCAGTCAAGGGCACATACCGGGGTTGCATGTTTGATCCCCAGCCCAGGTTGGGGTGCATGCAGGAGGCAACCTATCCATGTGTCTCTCTCACCTCTCTCTCTCTCTCTCTCTCTCTCTCTCTCTCTCTCTCTCCCCCCTCCCTCCCTCCGTCCCTCCTTCCCTTCCACTCTCTCTAAAAACCAATAGAAAAGAAACATCCTCAGGTGAAGATAACAAAACAAACAAACAAAAGACTTTGTGTGTACAAGGCCACTTGTCTGTCTTGTTCTAAGATATTCACCCAGAGTCTAGTTCAGGGCCTGCTTATCAAACACCACTTGGCAGTTGCTTGTTGAATGCCATTCAATATGAGGCTGAAAGTGGGTTTTTGAGGGAGTGACAATTTGATAACTTCCCTGAGACTTTGGAATTTGGCTAGCTCCTTTTGTTGCCTCTGTGAATATCAGTACCTTTCCTTTAAAATTCTGATCAGAAGGATGGAGAGCATTAATTCATTTATGAAAAGGCAGCACTGAATTTAAAAACAGAATCTTAAAAAAATAAAGTCAGCTTCCCTTATTTAAAAACTTCTTGCAGAGAGAAAGAAAATGTTTTCAGTATGATGCTGCAGATAAAGAATGAATATGGGAGATTTCGAAGATTAATATTTAATAACGTTTATATGTGACATTTGGGGAAAGGTGGCAAAGAAGGAGCATGGTGATAAATAAGACTCCGACATCACCATCACTGAGCGAATAATGAATGTTCTGACGATGTACGTTGGGGGGCAATTTATCACGTAAAGACACCGCAGGAGACAGTGCATCTGCGTGTGCTGGAGGGCTGTCTTGTTTTGTCTGAGAGCATCTGGGTTCATCTCACCTGCTTGTCTTTAGTATGGAGCTCTGAGTTATAACCGAAGCACTCGCAGATTGAAGAGCTGCCCACCTCGATTAAGGACTGCATTCTCCAAACCCTATCGGCTAGGACAACTGGGCAGAGAGTATGCTAGTCAAAGGTTCTCAGCCGTTTTAACTGCATTTTCATGGTTCCACCATTAGGTCTTTCCAATTCACCGTTCAAAAAGCAGCAAATGCCAAAGAGCAGCCAGACAACTGAAATTCAAGTGCTTGTTAGACAGGCCGTGTGGAGTGATGGACCAGACAAAAGGAAGGGTGGCAAAGAATGGCATTGCAGTGCCAAGTGGCTCTCCAGTTCTCTATTCCCTTACCTCTCTTTATTGCTTAGTCACACACCTCAAATGCAGGCTTGGTAGAGGGGATATTTCTGCCTGATAAACTGACTCGAATTCCAGGATCAAATAAGCAGCAAGAGTAGCTAACATTACTGGTAACTCCTGGCACGTATTTCCCATGCAGTGACATGTCTCACCCAATCTGTCCCACAACCCTTTTGTAGATCAGGAAACTGTCGACAGGGTGGAGTGACCATCATGTAAGTGTTTTACAACATGATGATTGAGTTAACAGATAAGCTTTCTCTGTGCTCTGTGTACCTTGCACATACCTGTATGTACTGGCATGTAATGTTTCCTTACCTGCTTTCATACTCCAGTAACCTGCGAACTCCTGAAGGCACAGACATGCATATGCCTTTCTGTATCTCAGAAACACTTAGAATGATACTGGGTATCTCTCTCTCTCTCTCTCTCTCTCTCTCTCTCTCTCTCTATATATATATATATATATATATATATATAATGCTCGGCTAATGTTGGAGTTCTTTGTAATGGAATTTTGTGGTTATTGAACATTTTAGGTTGGAAAGAATCTTGAGTTGTTGGACTAGATTATCTCACAATTAGTTACCAGCTGTTCAACCAGGGGCCTCCGTTTGTCCAACCTGGTGCTAAGTTGATAGAAGATACAAAGGCAAGACCTGCCTCCTACTTGTGAGCTGGTCAAGCATGACCCGCCCTGGTCCCTATGGGCTTGAGGGCTGCCTCTGCCCCTCCTCTGGCCATGTCTGCAACCCCACTGCAAGGAGTCTATGGGACTAAACTCCCATGGTGTCCCTTCTAGACCATGTTCCATATTCAGGGTCCTGGCTTCTCCTACCCAAATATCCCCAGGTCCACTTCCAGGGTTCGACACCCAGGGACAGATAAGGGCCCCAGGAACATATCCCGAGACCTACAGAGTGGCCAAGGGGCGCCGGCTGGCAAGGTGAGGGGTAGCGGAAGCTTGGGGTGCGTCCTGTGGGGGTGGGTGAGCCCCCCTGGGTGTGGGATGGAGCAGCATGAAGAGAAGGTGCTGAATCTCCTTAGTCTGCCGGCTTTCAACACAAGCTCCAAGGGCCCTAGGAGCTCTAAATTCAAGGCTGACCTTGCAAGGCATTTGAAACCATCTCTGTTCAGGTACAAGGATAGAACAGTCTTATTTAGAGCTTATCAGAATGATTTACAACTAGTCAATTTCGTAGCTGTGGGAGGCGGGCGCCATGGAACTGGAACTCCCATTAGGGATGGGTCCCGGGTCGGCCAGCAGAGCGCACACATCAAACACCTGGGTTGGGAGCCGGTCCCGCCTCTCCCTGTGGGAAAGCACAGAGTCCTGACCTAACCCTTTGCATACTAGCTCTTTGCCCTTGGCGGCTGGAAGAGCGCCTAGTGCAGTGGTTCTCAACCTTGGCTGCACATTAGAATCACCTGGGAATCTTTTTAAAACCCTGATTTCTGGGCCTCATCCTCCGGAAATTCTGTTTCTTTGTTATGGGGTGAGGCCATAACATTAGTAACAAAG